CAGTTACAGCAGCACACGTGTGCGCCGCAGTGGCCGCCAGAGTGCTGCCAACTTGCCATAAAACATCAATGTTCTGCGCCGTGATGCTCCCCCGAGAGCATCGAGATAAATGTTTATGCGGGTTTTGTATAAAAAAAACATCCTCTCTGTGTGTGTAATCATTTAAATTGACAGCTGAAGGAGATTTCATGGAAATGGCACTGGTTTAATTAGATTTATAGATACCGCCATAGACAGAGTTGGCAGACCAGCTCTGCGCCTTCAAATAAGTTGGCAGGTCTGTTCTGACTCGCTTTTGGTATAAATTTGTCTCTATATGAAAGCCTTGACGAAGTTGGAGTATAAATATCCATTGAAAGATTGAGTGAAGAGAGCTGCCAACTCGCTTAAGGTATGAATAGCCGCCTTCCATCATTCATCATGTATCAGGTGTTATCTATCAGGTTTTGGATGCTCGTTAGCGACAGGGATACACTCCTTACTATCGCGCAGAACCTATCGATATTGGTTTCGAAGTTTCGCGACAACGAATGGGAATAGTTCTTAGAAAAACGAAGTTTAGAGATAAATTCTTGAAGCTAATGGATCCTACTGTTTCTACTGGAAGTTCCCAGAGAAATTACTAATCAGCAGCAATGGCCGAGTGGGATTACTATTATGGTCTGATGGATTAAATTAAACTGCAGTGGCTAGGCAACGCCTTGCACGCCCTCACTCATTCTCTCTCTCTCTCTCTGTCTCCCTCTTTCACACACTCTTCATCGTGCAATGTGCGCCCTTTGGCGGTGGAGCGCCATACTGACTTCGCATCGGATTATATGTAAATGTAGAAACGCGACCCTTTCTGACACTAATCATGTGCGTCGGAAGTCCATCACTGTTCCCCGATCAACTTGATATCTTTGAAAAAAAACCCTGCCATCCCGTTGAAAGGTAGTTTTTTGTGCCCTTAAGCGCTCTTTCCCACTGGCAGCCCCATGGTACACTAAGCTCCTTTCATGCTCCTTCTTTATGAGTCACAAATGTTATAATCCCCCAAGTTGCAGTCATATATCTTTCACTAATTGCCCCGCTTAACTGGAGTTTCTTGTGCTCCCTCGTTTTGATTGCTTTGAAACCACACATTTATAATTTATTATTCATTATGACACGCGCCCCATTCTTCCTGTTTATGTGTGTGGGTTTTCTTTTTATATATATCATAAACTTCTCGCACCGCATAAACGCCAGGCCAGTGGTCGGTCCAGTGGATGTCAACGCGTTTTATTGGCAAATCAAAAGCGACCGCAAATGGCAGCCCACACACAGAGAGTACCTCTAAACGTAGCCCCCCCACCCGTCACTCCCTCTCTCTCTCTGTATAACCCCTTGCTTTGGCTCTGGTTTTGGCTTGCGGTCAGTGGGTCCTACAACCCAACGGTCCTCAGGTCCTCTGGTCCTCTGGTCCTTTGGTCCTCTGGTCCTCGTCGGTGTTGGTCAGCAAACAAGCGTGAAATTGCACAAAAGCCGTGACGGACTCTAAGCCACGCAAAAAAGGAAAAGGCAGGCAAAAAAAAAAGTCGTGAGGAAAACCCCCAACCACAGGAAAACAGCAGTAAAGGCAATCAGACTGGCGGGCCTATGGATGTTTTTCCACCATTTTCCTTTGCCCACGCCTCCTAGGTATCTCTCGCGTGCAGCCTCAAAGTATGCAATGGATTTTTCACATGCGAATCCCCGGGATGGCAGGGACTCCCAATGGCACCATTTTGTAATTAATGCCCCTTGGATGGCTGATGTTTGATCTGCGGCTCAAAGGCAGCACCCCCACCCCCTGCCGAATAGAGGAAGGGGGGGGGGGGGGAGAATTTTTCCACTGGCTGCTAATTAAATGCATACAAATTGTATGCTGCACACGCTAATGATTCAATTATTTTTATTAGTTCCTTCCTTTCAGCCCCACAGCCCCACAGAGTACTTACTACAATCACGCAATGCTAAATATGTGGGCACAAAACATCTTCAAGGGGCATGCAGGCAGCAGGCAGCATGCAGCAGGCAGTGTAGTGTGTGGCATGCCTCTTGTTTTAATTAAAACCCATTCGAATCGATGGCCCACGTCCATGGGCACGTTTTAAATTTAGCACCAGAGGCGGGCAGCCAGAGACGAGTCCTTGGAGCGAGCACTCACTTCATTAAAGAGTGCCAAAGCGAGGGAAATTTATTTTGCATTGGGATTGGGATTGGGCATTGCCTGCATTGCCATATCGAACGTGCTGAGGCCAAATGGAATTTGAAGTGCCAGGGAAAATGGCGAGAAAATGGTGAAAAAGGGTGCAGCACCACCACCAGCAGCTGTCCCACTAAAATGGATTGAAGAGTGGAGGATGGTGGATGGTGGATGGAGATGCAATGCCGGGAAATGGGTCAATCGAAATGGTGAAACTGTTATGGGATCAAAGGGAAACAAACGATCCCAAGGGTACATGTGCATGTAAACTTTTCAAAGGATATAAATGAACGGGTAACATTTTAAGGGCTTCCGGAGACGATGCGCTCCCAGCAGATGCATAAAAGATCGTCTCTTCTATTGGAATTGGATTGGTAACACCCCGATGATGGTGGGAGTTTTTCCAATGACAATAAATTGCTGCCATGTAAAGAGTGGCCATGAAGTTAAAGACAGAGTCCATCTTTCGGTGGCTAAAGCTAATATATGGGTTTAAAGATAAATACCATTTCAACCCATGGAATTTCTTAAGCAAATAAAAGACACAAACATCCCATAATCCCCTCACAGATATAATATCCATTTGAAACACCAAATGTGCCTGGACGAAAACGTTTTTCTTTCATTCGAGAGGGGAGTAGTAGAGCTGTGCTTATAGAGAGAGTAAAATTGCGTAAACAAACTTGTCTCTTTGGCGAATATTCAACAAATTGCATCAGAAGCACCTTTACCGAGAAAAAAAAAAAACTGACAATTAAGTTTCGAAAGCATTAAAATCCAACGAGAATCCAGGAGAGTGCCAATCCTAAGGGGTTTAACTGCTGCCCAGGGAGATTTTCCTGGCAATTCTAGCAATTTGGAAATTGAAAATTCCCCCTGAACAGCAAACACAATCCCCGGCACTTGTGTTGTATCCCGCTTAAAGAAATTACTTTCTGCCACCGAGCTGACAATCGGTCTGGCTCTTTTATTTGTGTCGAGTTCAATCAATGCATCAGAGCAGCTACTTAGCTGGCAGCTTCAAGCCGTGCCCCATGCCCCATGCCCCATGCCCCATGCCCCATGCTCGATGCCGTCTTCTTCTGTTGGAATTTATTTCATTTCTATTTCATGCAATTTTTATGCATTTTTCTATTTATAAAATTGCTGGCAGCGCACACACAAAATAATAAAAATGCCAACGAGGGGCCAAAATGGAAGTGCAAAAGAAAATAAAACTAAGGGAACAAAACTGAACATAAAATGCAAGCGGCGGCATTTTGCAGTTGCTTCTCTCTCCCAGTACCATTTTCCTTTCTTTTTCTTCCCGGGTTTTCCCCCTCCCCCCCTCTGGTTACCGCTAATGCTGCCCGCTGCAGCGTGAAAATGCAGCGTGAGAAACCGAAGCAAAGTGCAAACCAAAGCTGGAAAAAATAGCAGGCAGGGCCTGGGCGCCGTGGCGTGTAAGTGTTGGTAAACGTGGTGCAAAATACCGTTACTGCCGTGGCATCTATAGCGCGGGGAATACCCCTTCTATTCTGCCCGGTTTTCTGCTGTTGCTTTTGTTGTTTTTAGGTCACCAATGCAGTTGTCGTTGCCAGAGGATGAGGATGCCACTCTGCCTCTCTCTTTCTCCCTCTCGCCCTTTGGTTCTTGTTGTTCTTGTTGCTTGTTTAACAAGTTCGAGTGCATCGCATTTGTGAAAATTTAAAAAGGCATCCTAAAAGGCATCTCCCATCCCCCCCCCCCCCCCGCACTCTCGTATGTGTCGCTGCAGCCACAAAAAACCCCCGAAAGCAAAACAGGAGCGAACTTTTCTGAGGCTGTCGCTGACACCAAAATGCACAAAAGGCACAGCATCCAAACGAGCTAAGAATGTGTGCGGTTATGCCAGAGAGAAACGATTGAGAGATACCCTGTATTAAAAGATGAAGAGCCAAGCAAATGGAGAGCTTCAAATGGCTTTGGGAGAGTCTTAAGAGGGGGAAACAAGGAATCCCATGAACTAGCTGAGTCCTGGAAGACTTGTTAGTCCTTTTCTATCAGTAGCAAAGCGTGTGTGCCGCGACAAAGACGTTGCAACTGGTGCACAGACCCTGTGAAACTGAGTAGATCATACAAATATCATTCTAAGTATTCGAAAATAATCAAAGTATACTTAAGATTGCTTGATTTATAAGTGTTTAAGGCTGTGTTTTCCAAGAAAAAAATATGATCTTAAGTTTGAGGCTTTAAATACAGACTGCTTAGAGGGAATCGAAAGCTTTAAATGACTCTGAAAGGGAATTATAATACTCTTAACTCTAATGTTTTGTTTGAAATATTTCTCTGCAATCTCTAAACTATTACATATATTGATGGAGTTTGCTTAGCCTATATTCCCTTGGATACTCCTTGAAAAAGTTTACTTAACAATGTGTAAAAGGGTTTTGGGAACAAGGGAATGTTACCCCAGGAAAGGGAAAAGGAAAAGGCAGAAGGGGGGCTTCTGCTGCGGCTGCTGCATGGGGCAGAAGGCAGAAGGCAGGAGTCGAGTAAAACAAAACGAACAGCAAACATATTTGACATTTGCATACGAAAAGTGTCAAAAGAAGCAAGAAGCTATATAAACTAACCCATACAAAGACAACGCTCACACGTACACAGAGATAGAGGAGCAAACACATACACACATACAGACAGACCCACACAGCAACCACTTCCGCAATGCTTTCTCTCTTATCATGTTCTTTGCTCTTTTCCACCCATTTTTCCGGCTCGGCACACACACACACACACACACCACACACCACACACACATACGCACACACAGGAACGCTACAAGGCTGACATTAGTCTGGCGATACAACTGCTGCAATGCAAACCGGATAGTTTTGTGGCCCAAAAGGTGTCATCGGTGAGTCACCCAACCCCCTCCCCACCACCCACTCCTAATACATCCCACCCCCCCTTGCAGTACCCCACCGAATAATATATGTCTCTTTTTTTTGTTGGTGTTGCAGCTACCCATCGATATCCAAGCCAAGGTATCGGCCTATATGCGACTGGAGACCAACTCGCATTCCGACTCCGAGTGCAGTAATAGTGGTGTGGGCGTGGCCACCACAGCTTCCTACAAAGTGCTTCCGGCCTCCGATTCGCCGCCCCCAGCGGCCTGTCCCTTCCCGCCCACAGCGATGGTCTATTCGATGCGGGGACTCGGTAGGTGTTAGTAGACCATGCCTTGAACCTTATCATTTTTCCTTAACATTTTTCTGTTTACGTTTCCATTGAATGTACCCGGTACCCGGAAGAGTATAGGGGTAGAGTACCGGGTATCAAGTAGAGCCGCGGCCCTTGCCGTGGCTCGCAACGGTAACGTTTTTATTGATTTTATTCGATTTTATATGATTTTATATGATTTATTTTACGCACATATTTCAGGGCGAAGAAAATTCCTAGAAAATGATTGATTCGAAAATATTCGAGCATTTTTCGCATGTAAATCAAAGATGTGCATTTTGCCGAGATATTCATTCATTTTACGGCTTGGAAATAAGAGAAATTCCTGTATTTTGTGTTTGCAGCTGCATTTTCATTTGATTTTTGCATCATAATTGAATCCCTTCCACATCATTATGCACTGTGTGCATTGTCATTCATAAAGCCTTTTGGTTATTGTTCATTTACATTAATTGCCAGCAATTTCATTCAATTTTCCATGTGTTAACCGTGTGTGTGTGTGTTTTTGTTATTACTGTTTTTGATGCTGCTACAATTTTCATCTCAAATTGCCATAAAATAATTTTGTGCCATGTGTTGTTACGACTGTGTGTGCACACACTCTCTTGGAAAAGGGTATTATGATTTGGAAGAGAGAGTTGGACGCCAGAGATAAACCTTAGAGAGTGTATACACATAGTTTAGACAAAGAATTGGCGGAATGAAAGCATTATTTGGTTGCCTACTTTTATTGCAAATTTTCTATTCGACATGTCCTCTTAGACAGGCTTAAAATATCCTATAACTTCCACAGAAATAATCAGTACAATGCATCTTTTCCTGCATGTATCGTGCGTCATGCGGCAGCACCCCTCGGTTGATCCTCAAAACCTTTACTTCTGGCAGAGTATCTAATGTATCCATCTCGTTGGTTGGTTTTTTCGTCTGTTGCAAATATTTTACATGTTTTTCCGTGTAAGCTTATGAATTTTTAGAACCAAATGCATTCATTGTAACTTTTATGCCACGAATTTGTGCACTTTTTGTTTTGTTTTTATGCGCATTCTTGTTTATGAATATTTTCTATGGCAAACGTATGCTTTTTGATAGCGAAAATAATGTACAAATTAGTACAAATACATATTAGTCTTTGGTGCTAACTAAAACTCTGCATTTAATTATGTTTAAGTGAAAGTTTTAATATGATTAAACTTAAATAACGTAAAAGTTTGCATGGGAAGAAAAGTTTTAAACAAATATGCCTCTGCGGCAACTATGAAGGATATATTATGAAGGATACTTCATTGAAGGATACTCCGAAGTTATTCAAGAATTCAACAACAACAATAGTCGCTGTTTGACTCGAATCTCTCTTGTTGGAATGCTCTGATATAATTTATTTCTTTAATATTAAATTAAATTAATTAAATTATGATTTGTATTGATATTTTCCACCAACAAACGTTGTTCAATGGCTCTACTACAGACATGTAGATGGTGAAACATCTTCCGATTTCCTTATAGAACACACCAACTAATTTCCCTTCAACTTTCTCCAAACCACAGACGAAACCAATGGCCACAATACGGGCAACAAACCTCAACAACAGTCAACCACAAATAGCAACAACAACAACGCCAACAAGGACACTCTGAACAAAAATAATATTAACAACAATAATTCCAACAATAATCCACACAAATTCAACAACAACAACATCAACAACAACTCGAATGGAAATGGGAATGGGAATGGAAACGGAAACGGAAATCACACGACAAGTCATTCGATCAATCCCAATCCCGATATGATATCCCCCACGATTATGGCCAAATTCCTGGAGGACGAACTGAAGGCCAATGAGGTGAAGCACTGCGACACGTGTGCCTGCAGCAAGCAGGATCTCCAAGTGCTGGCCGACGTCTCACGTTCCTATACGGTGGCCACCCAGACGCCCCATCAGCTGCCCCATCATCTCCAGGGATCGTCGACCCTCAACGAGCCGCTGACCCAGCTGTGCCTCAGGTGCCACAGTAATCTGAACTCGCCCTCGCGTACGAACAGTCCCTACATGATGAAGCTCGTCAAGTCCAGTGACTCGGTGATCTCCGAGACAAAGAGCTCGGTGTCGGATCTGAACGACATGGACAAACTCTTTACGCCGGCTAAGAAGGATGATCTGATGGTGAATCCCATTTTGGGGCACCATCGGCTGTGCGAGAGGACTGCTGGCGTTACGGCCTCCACGATGATGTATCCGACCACACATCTGGGGGCCTATGCGGCTGAGAAGTATCTCCTGGAGACGAGTAATCTCGGCCAGCTGAGGAATGGCTATCAAAGGAGGTTCCTGGACGGCGGTGGCACCGCTCTGCAGTTGCTGACCAAATTCGAAGGAGGTTCGAGTGCCGCTGCAGGACCCCAGGAAGAGCTGGAGGATGAATCGAGCAAGCCCCTGCTAGCGGGCATTTCGCAGGGTAATCTCCTGGAGGCCGATCAACTGCCACTGCCACAGGTGCCTGTGCAGGCCACAAAGCTGGAGGATGTGTGCGAGCCGTTGCCCTTGAAGACAGCTCCTGTGGCAGCTTCAGGCGTGACTTCTGCTGCAGCTGCAGCGGCAGCTGCTGCCCATTTGAAGTCCACCAATTCGGGCAGCGTTCAGAGCCTGTGGAGCAACAAGACCAGCAGCTGTGAAGGAGCCAGAATGTTTGAGACTTTCAATCGGAACCTCATTAAAACCATTAAGGTTTGCCTGCTAGCTTTTGCCAGAAAATAAACTCTTTCACTTCTTCCCTTCCCTTATCCTTTCAGGCGGAGAATCCCAAGTATCGAGGACCCCGACTGTGTGCGATGCGGATCCAACAGAATGGACAGAGCAACATCCTTTTGGACAACTTGGAGTCCATTGAGGCCTACAAGCCCGTCATCTACAAGCGTCGCGAACGCCTCTTAGATGAGGAGCTAAACGATGGCAAGGACATCATCACGTCGAAGGACAGCAATGCCGCATCTGCGGTGGAGGCATGGCAGGGACCAGCGGCGCCACACGAGAATGTGGTGCTGCAACCCGTACTAGAACCCCTCGTAGAGCCCCAGCAAGAGACTGAACAGGAGGAGAGCAGCAACAGCAAGCGAGCAGGAGGAGAGACAGGAGGAGGAGCCATAGCAGCCGTCAGCAGTGGACCGGCAGTGCACTCGCCCAAGCATTCGGCAAACTCCAGCTCGATGAGCGATGCCATCGACTACCAGGAGAGCGTCCTGCTGCGCCGCCAGCAGCTGAGTCGCGTGGCCGAATGGGTGCAGCACAACACACAGCAGTTGGAGCAGAGGAATCTCCAGCAGCCGCCGCTACCAAGCGACTCCACAGCGGGCACAGAGCGACAGTCCTCGTACTCCACTCTGGATCGGATGGACTCCATTTCGATAGAGAAGCTGTCAATGGACTCGGGCTACAAGACAACGCCCCAGCAGCTGACCAACGGCCCCACGGAGGACTCACTGTCCCCCAAGACGGACATCACAAGCAATTCCCTGCCGGAGGCAGCCGCCGGTGCACCGATGGCCAAGAAGACAGAGCTCTGCACCACATACTACAGGCGGACCACCAGATCGGGACTGCCAGTGGCATACACCACCACTGCAGCAGCAGCCGCGGCTGCCGCCACTGCCGGCACCACTCCAGGGGGGGATTCGCTGTCCTCTGGCTCCGGCTCGGCGCCTCTGATGTGCCCGGAACAGCCCACGTGTGATATTCTCAACTATAAATACTATCCCAATGACACGGACAAGACGCGATCCGTGCAGGCGGAGCTGCACACGACCACACAGCACGTGGACATCGCCCAGATGGAGTACAATGTGAAGCAGTTCCTGCTCAAGCAGAACGAGTGGTCCATGAGGGGCGGACAGGATGGTGCCGCCCAAGGAGCTAATGCCACAGGAGGCGGAGCACCAGCCATGCCGGGAGGAGTCCGTCTGGTGCGGCACACACGTCTGATGGGACCAGGAGTGGGGGAACGGGTGCGTATGGCCACGCCTGGTGGAGTTGTGGCCGCCCAACCAGGCGCCATGGCGCCGCACAGAACTGAAACGAATTTATAAGAAAAGCGAAGGAAGGGAAGCCGGAAAGAGGAACCCAAGGAGAGGAAGGAGGAGCAGCAGGAGTTGCAGAAGGAATGGCATGCCGCATGGCTGCAAGCGACGAATCCAAAGAGTAAACCAAACTGTATTCTAGTCTAGTTTTTGTGTTCTTTGTTTTTTGTTTGCTACTTTTACGTTCATACGAGTATTCTTCGATCCATATCCATATCCATATGGATCAAGGTATATATTATAGAAGGCTAAGCAATGTGCTAGATGTGACTTAAGTTGGGATTAGGGCATCGATCGGATAGCAGCAATGGATGATACTATATGTACGATATATCTAATACACACAAACACACACAAACACAAACTACAACTAGGAATACTGCTTTGTTGCCATAAGATTACTCTGTAAAAGAACTTAGAACTGTTTGTGGACAAGGGAGAGAGAGACAGAAAGAGAGATATGTAGTTGTGGCACTTGTGGGGATCTATCTATAAGAATGTTTTCCGCATTTATCCTGCTTCGTATGATATCATTCCAATATTCCTGGATATTTCATAGCTTTTCTTATGAAATTTCATACTAGACATTTTTGTAATAATATCAGTCGTTTTTCCTTTAAAAGTTGGGTTTTTTAATGACCAAATCTGTTCTAAACATTCTAAACTGGTTCTATAAGAAAACTCTCTTATATTCCTTAGTTATCCTTTTCAAAGTTCCTATATTATATGTTCATAAAAGGATAAGTTCTAAGTGGTTGAGTTTTTAATGAATTTATAGATTGTCTTGTAATATCTTTTCGCTATAATTTCTACTCAAACTTTTCCAAGTCTTCCGCTTTTATACTCTCAAAACCACTCTCTTTTCACCATCTTCCCAAAGTCCCAAAGTCTTCCCTTGAACCTGGAATTTCTATGCTTTCTATTTCCCAACCAATGCCACAACTCTCTCGGACACCCCATAACAACAACAACAACAACAGCAGCAGCAGCTAAACCGAAAGCAAATCTAAGACATATGATATGGTTATTCCTTATAAAATAAAAAAACCAAAAAAAGAAACTAAGAAAATCTCATAACGTAACATTTTATGTGTCTGAATGTTAACCCACAATTTGAAAACCCATAAAAGCTTAGGTTATCAAAGATATATATTATATATGCTATATATACGATACGATTGATATTTGATAAGCGCGTGTTTTTTTTTCCATAATTCTAGAATTCCGATTGTGCAATATATATTTTTTTTATTAGCGTAAAATGATATTTTATTTTTATAAAATGCGACCAAAACCAAAAAAAAAAAGAAAACAAAACAAATAAAACCAGGGGAAACCTTTTTTAATTTTGAGATTTTATTTGAGATTTCTATTGAGCATTTTCTTCAGGCCTAAAGCTTCAGCGCTATAGCTATGAAAACCCGTCGTCTATCGAAAGATATATACAAAAACAAAAAACAACAAAAAAAAACAAACAAACAAAACAAAAAACAAAAGTACTGTACCTTCTTAGCGAAAAAAAAACACCACACAACTGTACTCAATTCCTGCCCATTAGATGACCTTCATATAGAACCTATAATCCTCTGCTAACTGCTAAATCAAAGATATATATACACAGACGTACACACACACACACACACACACAAGCATTATAAACGTATCTGAACAGACATATGATTGTAATATCCCATATATATTTACATGCATCTATATATACATTATACATACCATATATATCATATATATATATACCACATATATATATATATAGAATCCAAATCATAATCGTGTATCCAACCCACAAGAAAACCAACCCCAAGAAAACATTCAACGGCTTCACATTTTTCCACTCATCGAAAATCAAAGAAAAACAAAAACCAAACAAACAAAAAGAAAAAAACCCAAAAGAATGCCTCGATATTTACTCGATATTTATATCTACCTATATATGTATCTGTATATCTATAACTCTGATTTTTTTTACCATGTGTCTACACTGAGCGAAATGCTTAAATGGAAATGCTTTAAGACGAATGTTATGTTTGGCCCAATTCTAGCGTAATTTCCTACTCTATCCTTTGCCTGTTAAGCACTCGATCATCCTATGATATTATCGCTAAAATCAAAACAACTTTGGCTTAAGTTTACGAACCAATCTAATGAAAGACTTGTCGTTTATTAAGGAACTCGAATCACTTTCACCCTCTACTATTGTATATCTCTCATGCTTCAGTCTTTGATGCCGCAATCAATGAGACTTCTATCTGTCATCGTGCGATCTGTAGGCCTTCTATCTCTCATCCTGCAATCTTTGTTCTTGCCACCCAGTAGCACCTTCAATCTTTTATCCCCTGACACCTGTGAGTCCCTCAATCTCAACTCCTTTCACCTTCTTTCATCCTCCAATCTGTGGTCCAACAATCTTTGCTCCCTTCAATCTTCAATCCCCCTCGACCCGTAACTCCCTCAATCGTTGCTCCTTTCACCTGTGGAACTCCTGTGCTCAACAAACAAATTATATCAACATTCAATCAAAACCCTGTCCCACGTCCCCATATACACTGCCCCGCCCCCCAATCCGACCCCCCTTTACCCCCATCATCTACCCCCTACCACCAAAAAAAAAACTAACTTTAAGTAGAATCATTATCCAGCTCAAAACAACACACAAAACCAGTGCGTAAGGCTGCTTATAAGAAAAGCATTCCCTTAGCTAAAGAATTACTAAAAGAAAGAAAAAAAAAAATTTGAAATGGAATTTCAGCAAAAAAAAAAAAAAACCTAAAAACTTAAAAGAAAAAACTAGCTTAAATATTTGGGCATAAGTTTAACTCAAGCTGCGAATTTTAGTTACCGTTTTTGAAGTTTAATTTGTTCGAAACGTTCTGTCAGATACTTAGCCTTATATCGAATGTACGATGGATATATGTACGATATATGTACGAGTATGTAACGAGTATAACGCCTCTCTCTCTTGGTTGAATGTAATCAATTTTTGAGCTATTGAACCACCTTAATGTGAAACAAAACAGACAACAACATCAAAAATAATGAAACAAGAAAACAAATGGAAAATCATTTAAATATAATAAATATGAGATAATTTTTTTTTTTTGAATAAAACTAAAGAGTCTTTCAATCAAGATGGGCAATGAAATAAATTGTATATTGTATATTTTTTGTATAGTTTTTATTTTATGATTTTTATTCGGTTTTAGTCGATATTTAAAAAAAAATTCCTGGGCAAAATATGAAATAAATAATTTGTGTGTGTTTTTTTTTGTTGTGTGGCGGCATGCACTTAGAAAACTAAAGAAACATTTTCCTTCATTTTCAATTGAAATCGAAAAATGGCGACGAAAATGGCGTCAGTCGTGTGGGGATCGGATCGGTTGATCCTCTCTTGTGCCTCTCTCTCGCTCTCTAGAGAGCCACTGCATCGACAGCAGCCACTGGCAGGGGCTGGACAATGGTATCGACGAGCACCTCCCGGCCATCGCTGGCATCGTCATTGACCACGATCACCTCGTTGGTGGGAATGGCCTCCTCGAACGAATCATCGATGGCCTCTCCGCTGGCACGCACCTCGTTCTGGTCCTCCGACTCGGGGACAAACTCCGCCACATCATCGCTGGCAGGATCGATCTTGTCATCCACCTCGGGCTTGGCCGGAGCCTCTGTCACTGGCGAGGCCACCACAGCGGGGGCATTCTGTGGGCGGTTGCCGCCCAGGAAATTGATGATGCCCTGCAGGGGATTCTGGTTCTGCTGCTGCTGGGCTGGAGCGGCGGCAGTGGCGTTGTTGCCACCGCCAAAGATGTTGCTCACGAACTGCTGGATGGGGCCTGGTGGACGGGGCGTGGTGGAGCCTGGGTTGGTCAGCCCCGTGAGCGTGCTCTGGAACTGATTGCCCAGATTGCTGGCGAACTGCTGGATACCCTGGAAGGCCTGAGTGGTGGAGTTCACCACAGATTGGGCTGCGCTCTGCACTGCCTGCTGGGCGGAGGTGATGGCCTGTGCGGGGTTCAGGAAACCGGGAATTGTGGGCGCCGGCGTGGGTTGGGCGGCTTCATCGGCAGCCAACTGCTGTACGGCTGGCTGCTGGGCCGGCTGCTGGGGCTGGAACTGATTCAGGAACTGTCCAATGGGCGAGTTCTGGATGAGCTGCTGCACAAAGTTCCCCTGGGTGGTGCTCTGCTGCGTGGGCGTGGCCTGGGTGGCCTGCCGCAGATGGGGCTGTCCGTGATCTCCCAGATCGGCCTGATCCTCGACCACGGGACTGGCATCGACTCCTTCGGCGGGCACTACAACGGTGTCTTCGGCGGGCAGGGCCTTGAGAATGGTCTGGACCGGCTCTTCGACAGGTTTTGGCTCCTCTTTGATGGCTTCAGCCTCACTGATCAGGGGCTTGATCTCTTCCTCCTTGATCACAGGCTTGATCTCTTCGGCTTTGATCAGTTCTTCTTTGATTTCAGGCTTGATCTCTTCTTCCTTGATCAAGGATCTGATCTCCTGCTTCGGCTTGACCTCCTCCAACTTCTCCTGAACCTTGGGCTCTTCAAGGATGGGCTTGGATGCCTCTGCAATGATCGGCTTGGACTCCTCTTTAAGAGCCTCTTCAATGATCGTTTTCAGAGCCTCTTCAATGATCGGCTTGGGAGCATCGATGATGGGTATGGCCTGCTCTTGGACGATCGGCTTGGCAGGCTCTTCCACGATCGGTTTGGTAGCCTCTTTGGGCAGGGCTTCCTCGACGATCGGCTTGGCCTCTTCTTTCACCAAAGCCAGGGCCAAGGGCGGCTCCTTATCCTCGATGATCGTCACGGGTATATCGATGGCCTCCTTGGGCGGCTGCAGCACACGTCCCTGGCTGGCAACCGCCAGGCAGAGTATCACCAAGACAATGGACTTCATTTTTGCAGATCTTCAAGGGAAATTCACTCGCGTTTCGGGCGCACGCACACAGGTCTCTCTGCTGTCTGTAAAAAAAATCAACGATCACTAGCGCCTCACGGCCGCAACTGTTGGAAATCTGTTTGGACTCATGGCATTTTATACACCCGCCCCGAGTGCGACGTCGGCGGCGGCGTTGGCGTTGGCATCGGCTTCGGCATCGACTGAGCCAAAGACAAATAACCTGAAGAGCGAGCGGCAGCCGACCGGGCCAAGAGGGGAAGTGCATGCACGGTGGCAGGGGCATCATATCATTGCCAATGTCTTGGCCAATTCTGGTGCTGAATGTCATTGAACCTCTCCATAACCAGGCTCAAGAAGAGGATCCACTGCCACTGCCACTGCCTCTGACTCTGCCTCCGCCTCTGCCTCCGCCTCTGCGGCTCGAGGTTGAGTTACAAGAAGGAATCGAAGGGGCGGGGCCCTCAAGAAAGGGTCTTTTACAGGGCTTTGGCCAAGAAGTGGTTTAAGAAGCTGCAGACATAATTGGCCTCTCGCATGGAAGGGGGCAGAAGGGAGGGCGGACATTAAAAGGTAGTGAGTGGCAGGAGGCAGAAAAAAAAACCCCTGAAGAGGCCATCTTTCTATAGGCATGGCAGTACTTACGAGTGCTTATATGGTTAACCAGAGATTTGCTAACCAAATGTTGATCATCTTGTTAAGGCAACAAAGGAGAGAGAGGGAGAGAGAGGGGGAGAGAGACATCATTGAAGATCACTCCGAAAGGTTTTGAAGTTGAGACTTTGTATTGTTTGTACAGATTTCTAGCGGATTAGCATTGATTTTCTAAGACTTAAGGCGTGCATTTTCTAATCACAATCTATAATATTTGAGGAAGATATATGGAAGAACCTATGGAAGATTTTCCTTTGGAAAGGGATTCCCTAAATGTATTTTAATGACCTGCTATCGTTAGGTAGAAATCCCTTTTGGGGTGCCATAAAACCACACAGATGGTGCTATTTGCATTTACGATCCCTTACTAAAGGAAAGATAAGCTTAGATATAGGTCTCTTTGACTCTTTTCGTGTGGGATAGTGTGCACTTATAATCCTTCAACAGATCTCTGAGATATCTCTGCGATATCTGATCATGTTAAGCCCCTTCCGTTCCAGCAACACGGCAAACGACAGACGGACACAACACACTTTGTGTTTTTCACTCTCATTCCTTGTTGACTCGATTTCGATCGGCAGATTTTTCTTGTTTTCTCCACAAAGAAACTCTTCTCTTTTGGTTGTTTCTTTTTCTCGTCTTGGGCTGCGTTCTGCTTGAAAGTTCTTCGGCTGCTGGGGCCTTTGGTGGCTCTGTCTTTGGCTCTTTTGGTGACCAAACCCGTTCCCCAGTCTCGCCTCAAAGATGGGGCTTTGAAAAACCTGCTCTGTCTATTTTTAGACTCAATTAGCTTGCAACGATGGTCTTTGTGGATGCAGCATCGCATCTCTTCTTAGGAGATGCGTTTTCACCCATTCTGGGTTAATAATTCATTAGAAATGCACAAAAAGCTATTCAACGCCCACAAAAACACAGACTCTTGAGTGGCCCAGGCGGGGGCAAGGCCTGTGCCTGGGGTGGGGGGCGGGGGAATACATGTTATACTTCTATGCAAATGATGGGGATTTAAATGTAAGTAAATGGGTCAATCGATTGGAAGAGAAAATTGTAGGAAAAGTAAAGCGCCACGCCGCCCAAAGTTTTCTTTTTGGAATCCATGGATTGGATGTATCTCCCTGCCCAGAACAGAACCCGTTCTGAAGGAAGGTACCCGCTGAAATCTCTGCGCAAAAAAAAGGGCATAAAAACCAGCACAGAGAGATCTCAGATCTCCTCAGATCGAAGTCGTCTGCTAAGGACATTGACTTGTTTTATTTTTTTATGGGGCCCCCTCATTCTTTCAAATTGATTTCCGAACAAGTTTGCGCCCAGAGACCCGAACCGACCCAAATCTCATAATTTGGGTTCTTAAGTACGGAGTTTTATGGTTTTTCTGGGATTTCTTTAATTGTTTTTTTTTTTTTTTTGTGTTTTTTGCACGCGTTCGAAGATCTCATTTGCTCGAGTTTCGGCTCCAAAATGTATGCGTTGTATTATGCAACAAACACACATGTAGACGTTTTTTTTTTTATTTTTGTTTTTTTTCTGTTATCGCACCCATCGCTTGGCTTGTCTTGGGTCGCGAATCGACTGTCGAATTAACACCTTGCTCACATACGTAGCATACGTAGCAGGTGGGCGACGACGCTACTATGCCCGCATTGGGGCGTGGCCCCTACTAAAACGGTGGCAACTTTCACTCAACAATCGTGTGGAATAATAAAGAAACAGCGAAAACAGCAACAAATAAAAGTACACTTCACATGCAAAGTGGGTGACAATCCAACAATCGATGGGGGTGGAGTGAGGAGTGTGGACGGGGGTGCTGGGGAGTGCTTGACAGAAGTAGGCGATCTCTCGTCATCCAACAATTACCTCACTTATCAAACGTCGCGCACACTTGTAATATTTGTGTCATTCATGTTTTGTCAAGGTCACAAATACAACAACAATAAAGCCCAAATATATTATTTATGAGTGAGAAATTGTGTCATTTTTGTAAGTGAGAAATTGCATGGCTAACGAACTATCCCGAACGAATGGAAAATATTGATTTAAGGGAAATTTTAGAGTTCAATAGGTCGAATATTGAAAGAAGCCTCCATTTTATGAACTAAAATCACATTTAAATCCTCGAAATTTTGCGCCAGTTCTTTTGGGAGCTCCGATCTCAGTTTTCGTTCAGAAAACACTAAAATGTCAGATTTCGCATTCGAAATTCAAATTTAAATTCAAATTCGAAACCTCTAAATGTCTGGCAAGGCTTGAGTTTATCACTCTCTTCTATTTACCGCCTACCTACTAATCTATCTTTACATTCATACAATCTTCTTTTTCTGCAAATTTTCCTATAACTTACCATTCATTTTCATACGTTTTTGTAAAACAAATAAACATCATTAACAAAATATTTATGTAAATATTTGAATTTAAATTTGAAAAAATTAAACTGTCTGGCAGAGCCGTGGCTAGCGCCATCTAGCAACTATAAAACAAAACCAAGTTCTGTATCTTTTTTAATGATACGGCAACGCCACAGACACCTTGCAAACGCAAAGTGAGACACAACAATGAGGTGGTTCTGGTATTTATTTTTTGATCGATTTGATCAATTAAAATACATTAAATTATATTAAACATTTTATCAGCCTCCCAGCGATCCATTTATCTGGCAGTGCGGCGTAATATTTTTCATTATTCTTGCAGCACCCGGTAAACGATAAAAGATATGGAATAACTAACAATATTTTATCATCTTCTTTGTGTAAACTTAATCTAAAATTAACATATATCTAAGAAAATTGATTCATCAATTGGATAAAATTATGTGTTTGTGGCTTGTAATATTAAACCAAATATTAAATCAAGGAATATTTCAAGGTACATTAACCCATTGTCGACTAATTTACGGTATATATAGAAGAAAATGCATTAACTGGTGGGTTGATGAGGTGGGAAGGGACGAACATCTGTTCACCTGACAACACGCAGACACGCGGCGGACAGAAGGCGACCGGCATTTTTAAAGGTATATTTAAGAACAAAGGGTATAGAAACTTCCACACGCAGAATTTTTTAGCTTCGCCCTCTCAAATCGAACTTCCGTGCATCATTAATTGCAATGGCATTTAAATCCTTGTCGCTCATTCACTTCAAACAATTTATATTTGGCGCTCAAGTTTGGTGGGACTTGCTCTCTATTTCGTGGTGGGAAATCATCTCTTCGTGGAGGGATTTTTCATCTCAGCAATGTCCCATACTCCCGTTTTCATACGTCCTATGTTGCTGGCAACATTTAATTTGTATGGGATTGAGCAACATCCTGCGTCCTTGGGGAAATGGATAGAATGGCGGAAATGTTTGTCATCTGGCTCCAATGTATGGAAAAACAAGTAAGTCTCTGTTTTAAAGCTATCACAATGATATTTTGTTTATTGTCCTTTTACGGAGACCAAGAATTACTATCGGGATCAGGATATATTTACAGGAAATTAATCAAATGCATGAATAGGACTAATAAAAATTAATCTAGGTAAATGTCTTTATATATTAAGTTTTAAAGCAGCTTTTAATTCTGATATCTAATTCATATGTAAATTCTCGTTTTATATAAAATTAACGAAATAGGGCTCTAGCCCTAGCTTTTATAGTCTCTGAGATCTAGGCGCTAATGTTTTACTCTAAGCAAAGCCGCCTATGCTATGTATGTGTTAGAGAGAGACAGGTCGAGAAAAAATGAAATTGTTTTCTTGATGCTGGCTATAATAATAATACGATCCAATTCAGATTCCGCAGTCTAAAAGATATGGTCATTCTCTACGATTCTGCGTTTTTGGTTTTCTAATATCTTTAAAATTGTGAATGCCACAGATTTTCGTCCTTTGTGGGGGCGGAAGTGGGCGGGGCAAAGTTTTTAAATATTTTTGTAGCAGTGACATATCACAGAAGTCTGGATCCAAAACATCGTTGCTCTAGCTCTTATAGTCTTTGAGCATTAGGCGCTGAAGGGGACGGACAGACGGACAGACAGACATGGCTCAATCGACTCGGCTATTGATGCTGATCAAGAATATATATATTTTATGGGGTCGGAAATGATTCCTTCTGGACGTTACACACATCCACTTTTACCACAAATCTAATATACCCCAATACTCACTTTGAGTATCGGGTATAAAAAAGGTTTAAACGAAAAAGTCCAACAAAAAAAAAGTCACTGTGTTGCGTGTAAGCCTTTGTATACCCTATTTTGTTAATTTTATATGAAGATGAAACGTGATTTATAAAGACCTTTTCTCAAATTGATATTCCTTAGACATATTTAAGTACATTATAAGTATCTTGTGTATATTTATCTCGATCCTGATACCTACGGAGTCTTGGATGACAAACATTTTCTCAATTCTATAACATCCATTTCCCCCAGGGTATGTGTGCATGGAATTAGCAACATGTTTGTGTATGGAGTGAGACTCATTGTTGCTAAAGCGAACTGCGGCGAATAAAAATTTTGGTCAAGACCGAAATATACCGAAACATACCGTCTCGTTTAAAAATATACCGTAAATATACTGACACTGGGTACCAGTGCTGCCAGATTTTGAGAGTCACCATAAGCTAGATTGAAGAAAAAATAAGCTAGAATAAGGTAAATACAAAAAAAGCTTAACAATAAGCTAACAATAAACACACATCAAAATAATGTATAATTAAATTTTATATATATGTATATATTTTTTTAATTTTTAATGAAAGTAATGACATGATTTTATCCACTTCATTATAACCATGGCCGAGTGCTCAGCAATGTACAGCCTTTTGCTCCTCTGTTTTTGAGGAGTTTCGAACAAGAGGTATTTTGTTAGTTTGTGTCATGCTAGCATTGGACGCATATGTTTAATAGCGACAGCATACTGCCATAATTACCACGACTTGGCCCCAATTGTTGACTTACAAAAGCAGCAGTACGCTTATGTGGATTCAGTTGGCACATTGCGTAGCCTCTCCTTAAATTCATCGAAATTGAACCAGAAAATGTAGAAATTTTGTTTATAAAACACTTTTGCATAGCAAGAAAAAAGGACAAATCCTATTTGTTAATATATATTAACAAGAATTACAATAAAATCAAAGAACAAAAATTGTTTTGTACCACATTTTTTGAAGCCAAAATAAGCTAAATGAAATTTGAAATAAGATAGATTTCAAGCCATAAGCATTTCAATTATTTTTCAAGCTATTTTGTTTTAAAATAAGCCAAATCTAGCTAAGAATAAGATGAAATGGCAACACTGATTTCATACTCACTTACTTTGCCACTGTTTTTTGGTTGAACTGTTTTGTTTAAACCTTGTTTTAGACAAACAAAATAAAAGGGACCACTTAAAAGTAGCAAATCTTGTGGAAAATTTATTAATCAATGGGATAAAACTATGTGGGCAGGGCTGAGGATTCTATTTAGCTAGTAATACTCGACGGAATATCAAAAACGAGGAATATGTGTGATGGAATATATTTATGGTATTTTTCGGTATATTTCTGAGCTCAGACGCTCATAGTGCGACGAAAAAATGAGTCGTAACTGTGCATGGGCTATGGAAAGGGGTATGGACAACAGGCAAAAATAGCCAAGCAAATTGCGAGGTTCGTACGAACCTCACCCCTCACGGCGCGTGTGCGGACATTATACCTTGGAAACAAAATCGGCTTTTGGTCTTCCAAAGGTATATTAGGCAGATGGGGTGGATTTCACCTTGCTTGCGTCCAACTTCGTGGCTGTGTTGCCTGTCGTCCATACCCTATTTTTCTTCCCATTATGTGGAGTCCCGCGAGTCGTCGCGTTAAAATTAATTTTAAAATTATACAATAAAACGCGTAAATTTTGTGAAAAAAACATGTGCAATCTGCTCTCGGTGTTGTTGTTGATCGATGAGCAGTGAAGGACGGTGAGTGCACGTGCGTTTTGAGTGCAACAAAAGTGTTGGAGCAATAGCAGCGGCATCGGCTGCGGCTACGGCAGAGCAACAGCAACAACAACAAAAACAACAAAAATGCGCTGGCAGAGCGCTAGCAGCAGCAACATCAGCACAAGCAGAGCGAGAGCGAGAGAGCAATAAAGTGCCAATAATAACAAAAAAAGAAAGAAAAGAAATAACAATTGAATTTTTTTGGTTTGAAATACATGTATAATACAGTGGATGGAAGAGGAAGAACAATTAAGAGAAAATTATTAACCAATAAATAATTAAGCGCTGCCCCAAATTCAAGAGAGCGTGTGTCCGTGTGCGTGTAAGGCTTCGATCTCTGCCTCTGCCAGTGCTGCTGCCGCCTCTCTGCCTGCAGGCTGTTTATCCTCTCACTCTCTCCCGCACGTTTCGGTGATGAAATAAAAGAAGAAATTATCTACCGCTCGCGCGTGTGTCTTTCAGTGTGTGTGTTTTTTTTATATGTGTGTGTGTGTGCTCCCCTGCTCCTGCTCCCACTCCCACTCCCACTCCCCCCCTCTTGCCCCACGTTCCATCCAACTATAATATCCGCGATACTCTCTTTCTTATCAGCAGCAAGTGCTCTCCAACCTCCCCACCACCCCCGAGCGTCATCCAAAAACGTGACTAATGCACTGCTCGCGTAGCCTCTCTGCTGCTGGCGCCGTGGACAACACAACAACAACATTCTATACGGCAGCAGCACAAACATCGGCGTCGGCAGCAGCCTCGGCCAGCACAACGCCAACGTCGAACAAGACGACAACAATGGCCACAACGGGGGTAACGGCGACCACAGGGCAAGCGGCAACAAATGCTAAAGATGGTAGGTTATACTAACTAAAAACTAACAAACCAACAACAACAACAACAAAAAGTGACCTAGTAAGCGATAGGACCAATCCAATACATATGCAAAGCCAGATGTCAGCGAAAAAGGGAATAGCAAAAGAAAAGGAATGGGAAATCAAGAGAGGAGGATGCTACAGACAGCTAGAGTTCAAGGCGAGCGGGCATACAGTTTGAGCAGCCGGTTCAGTTACTCAGAAACTGTAGTTGAAGGAAATGGCTCTGAAACTAAACGAAAAAGGAGAATTTCGAGCTGAAAATTAAACAAATCAAAGTCCAAATGTGATGAATTATTAAATTCTTGAATATTCACCTATTGCTGGACTGCCAATAGAAGATCTTCGGGGCAGAAAAGAGTATGGGGCTTATCAGAAATTCTCTAATCAGATTTATGGAGGCAGAAATTTGCAAATTTCGTACAAAAATCTACTCATATTTTTAAATATTCAAATTTTTTGCTAGTCTTTCATACATTTCCACTCAAAACTCGAGCACAGAGACACACAGATTAACTGCTAATCCATCAAGAGCTTAATCTTTAGCTTTGTTCTCCTGCTCCACCCCTCCCTGCCCTCCCTCGTCCGCTGATGTAACTTGTTGAGCAATGCGAATGCGAATACGGATATATACATATGTATGTATGTACATATATATATGCATGTACATAGTAGATGTATGGATTTGTGGCTCATTTCGGATCAGGCCAAAAGTTGTTTAAAGAAAAATTGGTCAACAAAACAAGACTGGGGCGAGGGCGAGGGCGGGGGCGGGGGCGCGCGATGGCAATGGCGAGGGCAGCAAATAAGGCAAGAAATTAATGAGAGCCGCCGTTGAATGGCAAACAAATTCAAGCATAACAGAAACAACAATAAAACAAACAAAATATAACAACAACAAACAACAAAACCATAACCAGAAATAGCAACAATAAGAAGCTTAAAAACAATAATTAAGAAATGCTGTTGCCGCTGCCGCGGCTGCAAAAATGTGTTTAAAAAAAAAAAAAATGTTTAAGTACCAAAAATTTAATTGCCAAGGCGGAAAATGCGAAGCAATGGAGGGCAGGAGCAGGGGTCAGGGGCGAGGGGTGAGGGGTGAGGGAGCTTGGAGCATTTTTTCGAGCGTGGCGAAGGTCAGTCCAGCAAAATGCCTGAAGGTCATAGGCATTTCGACGCTGTCGTCACCTCTGAACCCGCTCGAATTTATTGATTTTACACGCAGAAGCAGCAGCGGCAGCCTCAGCCTCAGAAAGCACTCAAAAAAAATACAAAAAAAAAAGAGAGAAAGAAATCACTGAGAAATGGAGGATGGTAAGGGGAATACCCTTTGCCAGAGCTCTTTCAGGGAATATCCTTTTTCTGGTAGATTTTTCATTGAATCGGACAAAAAAAGAGTTGAGAATTATCAAAAATATAGATACTGGGCATGGAATACTCGTAGAACTCTGCGCAGTATATATACTGAGATACTGAATGATCTCCGGGCTGCCGCTGAAACCGGAATACCCGTGCTGCAAAAAGGGTAAACCACACCACATGCATATTTCTCTTTATGCTCTTTCAATTTACCTTTTATTTATGCATATACCCTTACATCTGTGTGAATGGTGCACACACACACACACACACACACATAGGTGTGTTCCTCCTCCAAGTCAGAGAGCGACTTGCGGCAGGGAAGGGGCTTGCCCCCTCAAGTTGTAGTTTTCTGTGGCTGTGTGTGTGGCTTTGGCTTATGCCAAAGGCCAAATGCAAAAACCTGCTTTTTTTAAAGCCAAAAACCATAAGAAAACGCCACAACTACCACGATATAAGTCCCCCTCAAACCATGGCCGCCACAAATGTTTAGTTTTTTTTTTGTTTTATTTTTTTTCGCAAGAAAGTTTAATAAACTATGCTCACAAAAAGAGTGGCTAAAGAAAACTTGGATAAAACCGTATAATAATAATTAATTTCAAGCAAAAACCCGTCTGGTTTTTTTTTTATGGATTTTCCATCATTAGATAACACGCCTAAATATCTAGTCGTTCTTTTCTTTGTTTTTATCCGTACATATGTTATGTATATTTAGACAATTTTCAAGCAATTTGTGCCTGTTATCACTGAAGGAAACACAGAAAAAAAGAAGGAATGTCTGATAAGATGGCTTGGAAACAGCAGTCACACATATGTGATTCACTTGAGTGATGTGCATATTAGTGGAGAACAGAATGACTGGTCTGCGATTTTAGACCGAAATTATACGTAATTGTTGAATGGTTTAATGGTCTAGTGGGGGCTAGTAATCGTCTCTAGTGCGGGTTGAACCCTTGACACAATTAGATGGGCTTTAAGAGGACTTGAAAGCTATGATGAAGCCGTTCAGAGTCAAGAACTTACAGTTTTGTGGCCACTTCGAGTGTATATACCGCTTACAGTTGTGGCATCACTTACCAAAAACAGTTGAACATATCATTCTTATCCGTTTGTACAGTTGCAGATGCACTACTCGTAATGGCAGAGGTTGATCCAAAATGCATACAGTTGAAGAATCACTGACTATTACATTCATAGAACCCAGACCCTTTACTGTTGGAGCGTCACTGTGTATTACAGTTTAAGATGAACTGCTAGCAGTTGCAGAAGGAACACATTCTACAGTTTGGGAACCATTGCTATGACACTTTACAGTTTGCGAAGCACTGACCATTGAATTTGTAGAATCGATAACTATGACAGTCTGAGATGCTCTGTCATTGATATCTAAAGAATCAATAACCTTTACAGTTGAAAGGCCACTGCTACGGTCACTGCCATGAAAGTTAACTATTTGACAGTTTGAGAAGCACTGACCATTGAATTTGTAGAATCGATAACTATGACAGTTTGAGATGCACTGCCATGGACATGTAAAGAATCAATAACCTTTACAGTTGGAAGGCAACTGCTATGAAAGCTAACTATTTGGCAGTTTGAGAAGCACTGAACATTGAATTTGAGGAAACGATAACTATGACAGTTTGATATGAACTGCCATTGACATCTAAAGAATCAATAAACTTTACAGTTGAAAGGCCATTGCAGATTGAAAGACTCCCTCCCCCCTCTCCATTTATCACAACTAATTGTGGCGCATATAAGACTGGGACTACAAAAACCATTATCAGCAGCACTCTCTCTTCCCTTTCTCCCACTCTTCCCACTCTTTCCTCTCTGCCTATCTCTTATTCCTCATTCCTTATTGACATTACATTTTGTGTTGTTGTTTGCCTTTTATTTCGCTTTTATCAGTTGCTTATCGCCCAAAGCAAATGCAATGCGTTTACCCCAACAGTAAATACTACTATAAGAGAACCAATACATATGTACAAACAAATACATATGTATGTATGTATGTATGCACCTACCTTTGGTGGTTCTCCCATTTCCAATTAGTGCACGGTTCGGAGTCAACAAAAGTCAGGCAAAATGTTTTATAATTTCATTTTAGCAAAAGACAAAAAAGAACAAAAAACATTCATTGAAGTTCGGCCACCAATAGGCTTGTAGATAGCTTTTTTCCCAAATATTTAATGATCATAAAAAATAAATACAAATATTCTCGCCGGCTCCCCATATTTGCCAGTGGAGGAGACTTTTGCAATTAGTGGATTGCTAATAAAACATAATGAACAAAATAAACTCGAATGTACACAGCGGAGTGCGAGACAGGGACGGGGGAGAGGGACAGGGACAGCAGGGAGAGGGACAGCAGGTGTACGGTATTTATATTGACATATCGGTTCGAGTTTACGGTTCGGTTAACAGTTGCAGAAAAGTGGATTTCCCCCAAAGCCAGATGCTGCCAACGCGACTCTTGATGCCCCGTAGTTGGGGGCCTCGAAGGAGTATCATGGATATCATAGACGAAAGAGATGTTCCTTAACATAAGAGATGGAAAAAGGCAGCGTTTTTCGACACCAAAAGAGCTGGAAAATAACTACTTTTGATCTGAAAACATAAGGGAATCCAAACCTCTTACCTCATTGCCTAAAACTATAGAAATCTGTTAATGATTGCCATTAGAATCTGAAGAAAAGACTGCCATGGATGCCCCTTCGTGTGACTCCTTTACAGGTCTTCTCTGGTTTCTCCTACCCACAGCAATCCCCTTAAATGGGTATCCCTGAGTCGTAGCACTCTATATTTTATTGCTACGTGCCTGGAGTCGTCCTGGACCCCTGGACCCTGGGCTTCATTTGGTGGAATGCATTTCACCGGCTAGCGGCCAGCGGCTGGGCGTCATTTTTCAATTGCCCGCGCAACCTGTGTCCCTTCTCCAATTGCCACAGTTGCCTCTGCCTCTGACTCCGACTCCGCTGCTGTGTGCCACACAGTTGAAGTGGCAGTTTGTCATGAGCAGCAGCAGGCCAGGCCAGGCCAGGCCATGCCAGGCCATGCCATGCCATGCCAGGTGTATGTCTGCTCATCGCATTTCCTGTAGCAGCTCTCTCGCGGCTCTCGCGGGGATTGCAATTTGATTTGTGGGCGACCACGGTCTGCTCCGTGGTCTGCTCCATGGTGGTTATAGTGTGAAGACTTGAGCTAAATTGCCGTGAGAGTTTATGCCCCAGGCCAGACTTATGAATGGGCTTATTGTGCATTTCTTAACAACTCAACTGAGGCATAGACACGCGGGCTAGTGGAGGGGGGGTGCCTCCTCTGAAAGGTGCTTCCCGTGGTAATATGTCAACTTGTATCATTAAAAATGCCAGGAAGTTGCAGGAAATTAACGAATCAAAAGCATTAAGATTGCATTAAGCATTAAGCTGGAAATGTTACTTGGGAGATCTCTAGTGCCGCTTTGGGGATCCTTTTGATGAAGTACGCCTGATATTCAATGTAGATTAGATAGATAGATGCAATTATTCAAGAAAGGATTGGCATAGATTTTACATATATTATACATTAAATGCCTGACAAAAAATTGGAGATTTATTAGAGACAATCTTAATGTTTT